GCAACCTGACGCCATGTCGAATAGTAATTAACAGCCACACTTGCTCGAAAATACACTGCAGACGAAGTAGAAGAGAAATATTAGAATAACTATCGAACCGAACACTGTTAGCATCTGATTAAAATTAAACTCTAAAGCTTGTCCTTTTCCCATCGTTTTGGAACACATTAAAAATTTTTAAATTTATGGTCCTTGGAAATATTTGCACATCCAGCTCATAACGATCAGTAAAGTAACGAAGGCGAAAGCGATTAGCAGTACTTGCAATACGTCGACATTGTAGCACGCCTTGGACGTCTTCCCCATAGCTTCATCGCCCACTCGTGATGTGACATACGACCAGGAACAGTAGTACCAGTATCACCACGGAACCTATTACCATCAGCAACTGATTTAGGTTGAAACTGAGGGCACAAACATCAGAATTTTTTTTACCCATATTTCAACCCCAAGTACCAAACATCGTACCGGAGTACTTGATCATTTTCAGAATCTATTTACATGTTTATTTACGTTTTTTCGTAACATTGAAAATTTTTTTTGGTTGCACTATTTTTTAATGACATTGGATTTTGACATTGTTTGCGTGTAAAAAGAATAAAAACGGTTTTCAGGTGATGGTATACTTTTTGCTGGTAGCCTTTTTGATTTATGTGTGACGTCATGAAAAGTAGAAAAAATGTTCCATAAGTTTTTTATGCCAGTCCGGTCGTGCTAGAGGAACTTTTTCATACTGCTTAGGAAACTAACAAATTGACCTTGTGGTAAGTAGTTATCGTAGTAACTTTAGTACTTACCTACTTAAATTCACTCCAAAAGCTTAACTACTCTATAACTTTAAAAATAATATTTTTTATAAATTATAAATATTTCCGCCCACATGCACGAAGCTCTTCGTCTCAAGCTGCCTTGTACTGCTAAGGAGTGGAATTCTTTGCCAGAGTCTGTGTTTGTTAAAGGGTATAACCTGGGTATCTTACAGACCCGAGTGAATAGGTTGCTTATGGGACGAAGTGCTCCATCGTAGACCGCATCATCGCTTACCACGAGGTGAAATAGTGGTCAAACGTCGGCCCATCAAATATAAAAAAAAAATATTACTTTTACAACATAATTCTTTTATAAACTATGGACGTTCCTCTTTTTTTAAGTGTCGGTTAAAAATGCTCTCATTTTAAAGGTAACTAAATTCCCTTTTATATGACATACGTTACCAATTTATAAAATACTTGTAAATATAAATTAAGAAGTGAAAAAGATAAAACGCTAGTGGGGTCCGGTTCTTTGCACCCACGTTTAGTTCATTCGTCTTTCTTGTGCATGGACGTCCTTTTTTTTATGGAGGAAAATCATCCAATGACTTCTCCCGCCCGGGTGAGGCGGGAGGGAGTGTCAGACTTACTGACTAAAACCCACCCCGTTCCTACTCCTGCACTTAGAGCCGTTAAGTCTTCCGCGGTTCCGTATCGTCGGCATTAGCCCTGTTGGGCTCCATCCGTGGTGGTCTGATGGTTCTTTGAGGCGCGCGCGGAACGCGACGCGCCGTAAGCTCGGGCCTGGTTCTGGTCGGGCAGCGAGTCACCCGTGCTCGCCATCCCTGTGCTGCACTTACCAGTACGTGGCCTCCATTCGAGAGACCTTCTTGCCCTCTTCTCAATCAGGATTAACAAAAACAAATCTAAACCATATGTATTTGGTAACAAAAACGTTTATTATTTAAATAAATAAGTAGACAAAAACAAAATTTGTACGTTATAAAGCGGAGTGTAATTAACCTAAGATTAAATTAAATTAAGCTCCCAGTTTTCCTGTCCTGTAAAGAAAAAGTAATGATAAGCAATATACAAGAAATAAAATAAAATACGTTAACATTGCGTTTATACAAAAAAAATATTCCTTTCTTGGTCTTATTAATAGTATTTTTTTCAACAAAACCTTATGAATTGACACGTTTCGAGTAGAAACGAAACTGGCTGATTGAATAACATAATAACATAACATCACGCCTTCTATCCCCGAAGGGGTAGGTTAGATGCACATAGAAGTAACACCACTTTTCACTATTTATGAGTCCCATGTAATAGGGGTTGAGCCTATTGCCATATACCGGGCACATTTCCAGACTCCGTGCTAGGCTCACCCCCTATAAAATGGGACTCATAACACAAATAGTGAAAAGTGGGTGTTACATTATACAGAGGTATAATGTGCACCTCTGCCTACCCCTTCGGGGATAAAAGGCGTGATGTTATGTAATGTATGTTATGTTTAAGCATAAAACATTACTTATTTAGGCATCGAATCTAACCCAAACCAATTGGGATCCCTACATTAAAACATTTATATTTTGTAATAATAACTAGAAACCGTGTCACAGAATTATACTTTACTGTCTACAAACTTAAAGCTTAAAACCAGTATTATATCATACGAAAAATTAACTCAAGGTTAAATAATTCGCCAGACCAGTTCTCGATCAAGGCTTTTTGATACTTTCGTAAAAAATAACCCATTACATAACATCACGCCTTTTATCACTGACGGGGTAGACAGAGGTGCACAATACGGCAATTATTGCCACTGTACAATGTAACACCTACTTTTCACTATTTATATTATGAGTCCCATGTAATAGGGGGAGCATGTTGCCATATACCGGGCACAATTCCAGACTCCATGCTACTTGCTACTGAGATTTTTTTAAAACCCAGTTATACTTTACCCGACCCGGGAATCGAACCCGAGACCCTTTGCCCGGCAGTCGCACTTGCGACCACACGGCCAACGAGGCAGTCATACCGTAATATACCATACAATAACCCATCACCTCTCACCTTTATTGTTTTATACTTACAAATCCTTAGTGTTTTGTGGAGGTGAAGAAATATATACAGTGGAACAGCTTTACTGCTGTCATGGGGTTAATTCTGTACATTTATGTACAATTTTCTTTATCAATGTAATTGGGTACTTACCAACTAGTCAAATTCAATACTTTTTTCGAACGGTCAAAAGCGATAGTTTTGTACGAGATTGTGTATTGTGACGTCAAGTTTTTTAAGCGTCAAACAGCGTACACATTTCTTTAATAAATGCTGGAAACAATACTAAACTAAGTTGGTCATAAAATCAATTAATGAAAGTGTGATTTTTTTTTTATTTTATTATATTGAACAGTAGAAATAATTAATTTTTAATTAAGTAAAGTACCCAATTATGTACAATTTTATCTAGAAAGTGAAGCCGAACGCTCTATTAAAAACTTAAACAAATTAGGTTCTCAGTTGGACCTTTATGTAATCATAGTTGTGCGCGATTATCTCGCGATTGGCTGAAGGAATTTTGATGCAGTTTTCAGGTAAGTGTTTGTTACACTTAGGAGAAGGTTTTTAGTATATTAGTTTATAACCGACTTAAAAAAGAGGGGGTAGGCGTCGGTTTTTTTAAACGTCGTTCATAAAATAATTATTTGAAAATGTTATATGAATTTGAGGAGTGGAAGGTAACTAGATATATGGAATGATATTTGTATGGAATGAAAGGGACTTTAAATGATGACCTCAATGTCTCGTAAGAATTAAAGCAAAAATAAGATTCTTATTGTTTAAAATACTTTTTTTGGAATGCAAAAAATGTGCAGTCGTATTACTTAATGTCAAGGTAGGAAACTAACTTACATCGCATGATTGGAATCGTTAATATCCAATACTACTTGTGTTGGATATTAACGATCATAGTCTAAATCATAGTTACAAAAAAAAGGACTTTACCAATAGAATCCTTACAGGATCCTTACCATTTCTGCATGAACTAATACTATTGGTATTGCTAAAAGGTAATTGGTATCAGATACTTATCTCTAATTGTTTATCTGAGAATTACTTCTCGTACTCTAGATTCTATGTCGCGGAGAACCTAACGGGTTACCGGGGCTCCGGTTCGACGTGCAGGAGAAGGAACGTGGTGATTTTTAGTCAGTAAGAGTCTGACACTTCCTCCCGCCTCACCCAGGCGGGAGCAGTCATTTGATGATTTTCCCCCTTAAAAAAACTATACAAATAAATGCGTCTGGCTTCACTTAAAACTCCACCACCAAAATTACAATTAATAAAAAACAGAAACACATTTAATACCAACTTTATTAAATATACAATCCCTGCCAAGTCCAACATGCCAAAATTGTACAATTCAGCACAATATACAGTCGACGAAATTTCAAATTTCATAATCACATCATCACAGTACTTACTTACTGTATTCATTCCGTTTCTACTGCCATTCTTATAAATAAATATTCATGACTGACAATTTTATTTTAAATTTAAGTGTTGAATATCTAAAATTCAATACAATGCACAATATTATGAAAATTGACTACTTTATTTTTAAATAAGTATCTTTGGTTAAAAAGGTTTCCCATATTAGGCAGACTACATTTCGATCGTCTCTTGAAATAGGCTATAGACCACACAAACAACTGGGAAAATATTTCGTTTTTATTTCGCTAAAGGCGACTCCCACGGCTCGAAGCCGATTTAGTCAACAACTGCTGAGGATGCTCCGTGGAGAAGCGAAACACGTGACAAGTGTAGTTAGAGCTTTGTTGAGTGTCGTGTGTGTTTTGTGTCGCATCTCGGCTGCATTAGCATTTGCAAGCTGAGGGTGATGCTGCATACAGCATACTGCAGATTAATTCCTTCAGCGTAATAAACACTCAATATTTTCCCAGTTGTTGTAGCATGAATCTCCGTAAAGTAACGCCTGATTCTATTCTATAGACTACAGACTTCCAAAACGCAGATCGCCTTGAAATACGGCGCAAGAAAAAGCATAGAAACAATAAAAGTTCACCTATGACGTGACATTCAATCACTACAGGTTATAAGAACACCACGTCACTCTAACTACAACGAAGTCAGAGAAAAGCATAAGAGAAAAGCGTTAGACATTCAAGTTATCGGAATAAGAGACCCCCAAAAATACCAGAGACAAAAACCAATTTACTGTCTTTTCATTTTCTTGAGGCATTTCAGACGGCTGTTCTGCATGGATTTGGTGACCATCCATACTCCAAAGTGGTAAGAAGATTTTGATATGATATTCAGGCAATGAACGAAGAATTCATGAGGATAGTAGCCTGGAGTTCTCTTTTCGACAGCGACGAGGCTGAGGGCAGATCTGACGAAGTCTTTGGCGCTGGGAGCGAAGAGAGAGCTCCTACGGATACCTGACATGTTGGAGCAAACGAATCCAGGCATGACGCATTGGAAAAGAATGTTCTTCTTATAGTATTCCATGTCTAAGCCTTCGGTGAACTTGTCAACGTAAGCCTGCAAGAAAAAGAGGTGTTTGGATATTTCGACGATTCGCGCTAAGGAAGATTATTTAGTTAAGCATAATGTGAGTAGATTGTGTGGCAAATAATATGGTCACGGATCAAAACAAAATTTTTCTTTAGAATTAGGTCATTGAAATCAATCTTCAGTTTTATTCACAAAAAGAATTGTTACTTAATCAAATACGTGTAAAGAAAAAATAGTTGCATTCTAATAAAATTCTTTGCCTCAGAACTTAATATCTTTTTACTAATCCTCTAGACAATTCCATAAACCAAATCACCAACCTTAGTAGCAGCATAGACAGTCAGCATAGGGCTGGGGATGATGGATGAAGCGGACCCAATGTTGATGACGATACCCCTCTCTCTGGCCACCATGGCGGGCAACACCATGTGGGTCATGCGAGTCACCGACACGATGTTTGCTTTCAACAGCTTTTCGAAGACCTTGTTCCTATCAAATTGGAAAAAATATAATTAAATTTTGGTCAAGTAGTCGGAAACCCTTAGCAAGAGTTAATTTATCGTTTTAAAAATGTATAAATCAACAATATGAAATCTGCGACTGTATCCATTATATGTAATAGACTCATTATTTTATTTTATTTTTTATTTTCCGCACACTAGGAATTTCTCCTGTGTCGTGGGTGCGTTTACAAACATTTAAGTTCACACAGCAGGTACACATAACACTCAGAATCGAAACAACTATTTGTGGATCACACAAAAGCTGGTCCGTGCGGGAATCGAACCCGCTACACGTTGCACGGCAGCCAGTTGCCCAGCCACCGCGTGAAGTTAATGTTACATTAAACATCTTATGCTCCGCGGTCTGTTCCTTTGGATCCAATCCAATCCAATAATTGACTTTCTCTACTCATCCCGAACAAACAACCATATACTTTTTATTATAAAAATCTGAAAAGCTTATTTGTTAACAAAAACTCGCGGGCTACTCACGTGAATATACTGAGAAAAGCTCTACTACTTTCGAACCACAGAGGGGTTCTTCCTCATAAGCAGCATGCGCGGTCAGCGATGTCGCGCTGCTGTTACAGGTTCGAAACTAGTAGAGCTTTTCTCAGTATATTCACGTGAGTAACATGCGAGTTTTAGTTACTTTAGTATGTCTCACGACAGTTATTATAAAAACATAGCTTGTCTGTTTGCTTGAACGCTTTAACCTCCTTAACTACTGGTATGAATTAAATATTTCCTTTTTTTTGGTCCGTTTATCGAGGAAGGCCACAAGCTATAAAACATCATGCAACGACCGTTACAAGCCGAGCAGAGCGGATGAAACTGCGGAATCAACTAGTACAGGATAAATTAGGATAACTAGTACAATTACCAAACAAATAAACCTAAAAAATAAATTAACTTCTATACTTCCTTATAGAACAAAAAGACATGTTATTTGTTTAAAACTTGTAGTAGAATTACCCTTTCCTGCTTTTAATAAACTGGTTTTATACTTATTTATATACACGTGTTGCTAGTATTATTATTCAAAACAACGTAAACGTTATATTAATGTAACTTGTCCTATATCATTATTGAATCTATTTTATACACATAATAACACATTATGTATGAATGTATAATTAATTTCATTTCCATATTTACTCCTGAGGTAATAGTGTGTCATATACTTATACCTCCAGGTAAGTTACCTTTATATTATAAAACTGGCGAGGTGGGTTAGTTTTATAACTAGCCCATGAGCTGGGTGTGAGCCTATTGCCATATACGGGGCACAATTCCAGACTCCGTGCTACTGAGATTTATAAAAACCCCGTAATACTTTACCCAACCTGGGAATCGAACCCGAGACCCCTTGCCCGGTAAGCGCACTTGCGACCACTCGGCCAATGAGGCGAGTGGAATGTGCAATAATCACCACACATCAAGTCGGATTGGCGATTCAAAACTTATAATTTGAAAATATACGTCCATGTTTCCTAACACGTCGAGGGAGTCGTTAACAGTGTTATATAATAAAACTTTTTCTTTAATAATATTTACTTTAATATTTTATTGTTTTTAACATTTGAAGCATTCGTCAGAGATCAGTAAAGTCGTGTTGTTTTTAAGGGAATAATTAAGGTCAGAATAAATGTGAAGGTTGACTGCATTTCTTTAAACCCAGGCTATTGACTTTAATTATCGCCGTACAATAATGTCGTCCGATTTGTTGTTCGCAGCGATATCGTTGCGCATCCATAGTGAATTTATTGCAGGTCCGCTCCGGTTTGAAGACGTCCGCAATCCGATCGTATGATAAAGCCGTAAACCTTTCCGCATAGATGTCATAGTTCCCTAACATAGACATTACATAAGATAACATAACGCCTGTTATCCACTAAGGGGTAGGCAGAGGTGCACATTATGCCACTGTACAATGTAACACCCACTTTTCACTATTTATGTTATGAGTCCCATGTAATAGGGGGTGAGCCTATTGCCATATACCGGGCACAATTCCAGACTCCGTGCTACTACTGAGATTTTTTAAAAACCCAGTAATACTTTGCCCGAGCAGGAATTGAACCCGAGACACCTTGCCCGGCAGTCACACTTGCAACCACTCGGCCAATGAGGCAGTCAGACATTACTATACGAAAAACATACCAAACTTCGAAAACTCAAATCCAAATCGCAATTCACAGCAATATCAAAAACCCACGTCAGAAATAATCTCATATCAATTGCAATTGCAAAAATATTTCAACCCCGCAATAACACGCGCGGTATGGAATCGACGGGACTGCATTCAACACACAAATGTTCAACATTTCCGCAATATTACTCGAGGTGAACTACCAACGATTGGCGTCGCGTACTTTGATAGCTTGCGCCGATATTATTCTCTACGAAGTTGCATTTGATAGCTTCTCAAAAGATATTTCTAGAGCTTTGTGTTGAGTTGTTGACGTTGAGATATAAAATTGGATTTTCTGGTGGCGTTGTTCAGGTAAATATCGAATTTTGACGATGAATTTGTCTTTATCTTCTCTTTACGAAATGTAATTGACAAGACGGTTAGTGCGGTGGTTGGGCAACGTTGCGGGAACCAAGACAGTTATTCATGTCCCTGGGACGCGCCGGACTTCAGTGTTCCGGTGTTTTCATGGTTGTATCTACTGTAGTACTGTAGATCCTTGCTTACAGGAGTTGCAGCGGTTTTGGGGGGTTGTGGCGGGCTAGTCCCATAAAAAAAATACGACAGCCTCGTTAGCTGAGTGGTCGCAAGGGCGACTGCCGGGCAAGAGATCTCGGGTTGGATTCCCGGGTCGGGCAAAGTATTATTGGTTTTAAAATTCTCAGTAACAGCACGGAGTCTGGAATTGTGCCCGGTATATGGCAATAGGCTCACCCCTAATACATGGGACTCATAACATAAATATTAAAAAGTGGGTGTTACATTGTACAATGGCATGTGCACCTCCGCTACCACTTCGGGGATAAAAGGCGTGATTTTATGTTATGTTATATCACATACACATTGTTCATTTAAAGGGTCAATAAACCCAATTATACAAACATTTTGACTCGTGCTTTCTTGGGTAAATACTTCGATATCATTCGTATGATGACCTAATATGAACTCATCTTTCGACGCATTATAAGTGTTAATTTTTCAAACGGATAAATAGTAAGTCAATATTATTGCTCTTGCTATATTCAGTCCTTTGAACGTAACAGTTTCTTTTGAAGTAGAACGATTCAGCTTAGAAGAATTCGCAATTAGGATGATGACAGGGTATGAAAATTAAAGATCTAATTAGTCCGTAAGTTAGGCAATGAAAAAATTCTAGACACGTATTTTTTTATTTTGTCGTATAATAAACCAATACTTAGATAAAATGAATCAAAGTTTAGGAGTGGGGGCTAAAACGTCATGTCTTCGTATAAAATGTACATAGAAGTGACGTCACGTGACATTTCAAATCAATATATTGTTGAAAGTATTCGTTTCTGTAAGAAAATAAAAAATACGTGTCTAATGATTTAAAATAATCTACCACACGGACATTAAAATAAAAATTACGCATCTACCCTATTGTTATTTCTAAAGTCGTGACGAAGCTGCGAGTGTTCATACATTACGCATTATAACTTTTATAGTAGCCAGTGCCTTTAGCCAAACGCCACTTTAGCGCTTGTCTACAGAGAGAGTAGAAATCAAAATGTACGGGCATGACACTGACAAGTGTCAAAATTTACGTCAATTCCATATAATTTGGTTTTCTATTCTACATGTAGACAAGCTCTAAATGGCATTTGGCTACAGCTGCTGGTCTACATAAGTTTTCAATGTCTAATAGTGGATGAACAATAAGAGGAGCGTCTGCTTAACCTGATGCAAAAAACCAAGTAAATTCAGAATTCGAAGGTAATGAGCACATTGGCGCCATGGATCTTATTTTGAAGGATTTTTTATACGGCGACAACTTAAACTGTCAAACACCGCGAGGTCACCGGTGACCGCAACCTGTTGTTCTTTAATTGTGACTATAATGACGGTACTTAAAGAGTTAATAAAGGTAATGAATACAGTTCTATATTATTGAATAACTACAATTGAAATGATAGTATTCATTTTATGCAGCACACTAACCGATAAAGGAAAAAAATGACCTAACACTATATTAGGTTATTTTTTTGTTTTCATATTGAGCACATTCAAGCATAAACATAACAAACATTATATAATAAAATCGTAGGAAAGTGAAAACTGTACATCGAATATTATTTTAAAAGAATGCTTTGGGCGTGATCTACAGTCGATACCGAAACAAAAATATGGTTCTTAGAATTTTTGTCTGTTTGTCTGTATGTATGTCCGGGATGAACTCAAAAAGTGCTACATGGATTTATTTCAAATTTTGCATGAATATTACTAACAGGTCGGGTCAACATATAGGCACTATTCCACGCGGACGAAGTCGCGGGCTCAGCTAGTACATACATATACAACATGTTCCATTCAAAACGAGAAGGTAGTCAATATAAGATACCAATCTGACATTCTGAAATCCCTATTCGACGCCATTGAAAACCAAAGCTTTCGGTATTCCAGGCATTTAACCTGTCAAGTGGGATAAAACGGGTGCCAGGGCCGTCATATTGAGGTTTAGAAATTCGTGAATTGTCACATCACTAGTGAAAATTGGAATTTTTTGAATGGACAACGCGTTCTATCAGTTTTATTATGGTGTGGTGATCCTTAGAGAATATCCTTAGAGGTAAGAAGTAAAGTTGGGTTTTACCATTAACATTTAAGAATATACGTATGAAGTAATAATAATATTGACTGCCGAGTTGTCGCAATTGCGACTGCCGGGTAAGGGGTCTCGGGTTCGATTCCCGGGTCGGGCAAAGTATTACCGGGGTTTAAAAAAAAAAATCTCAGTAGTAGCACGGAGTCTGGAACTGTGCCCGGTATATGGCAATAGGCTCACCCCCTATTATATGGGACTCATAACATAAATAGTGAAAAGAGGGTGTTACATTGTAGAGTGGTATAATGTGCACCTCTGCCTACCCCTTCGAGGATAAAAGGCGTGATGTTATGTTTGTTGTGTTAATAATAATATTTTAAATATTTTACAGACCAAATCAAAAAAAATCAAAAATCTTAGTTTCGGAGCTAATATATCCGTTTCTTTCTGCTTTTTTTATGGGATAAGCCGGTAAACGAATCACCTGATGGTAAGTAATCGGCGCCGCACGTGGACACATGAAACACCAAAGGCTTTACAAGTGGGTTACCGGCCTTTTAGGGTTTAGGAATTAGAAGATTGTTGGGGATTCGGGGATGGAGAAGATTAGGGAGGGGGGTAATTGGGCGTCCGGTAACCTCACTCGCACGACGAAACACAACGCAAGTGTTGTTTCACGTCGGTTTTTTGTGAGCCCGTGGACTCCGGTCATTCGTTCTGAAGCATGGCTTTTCCACAACTTATACCTGCGACATATTGCACAGCAGCTGGCTACTCAATAACAACGCCATCTATGCAGTCAACTACACACTACAACTTACGAAAGAATATAAAACTACTCACATTTCAACCAAGTCAAGGAAGTATTCAGGGTAGGAGTAGGAGATGCCGACATTGTTCACGAGGGTTCCAATCTGGAGACCAGCTATTTCCTTCTCAATAGTTTGGTAGATCTCATCACCAGCAGTGAAATCCACTTGGATGATCTTCGTGGCGACGTTGAATTCCGTTTCTGTAACAACATGGTTTATTTACTAATTGTTTTATAATAAAGTGGGTGTTACATTATACAGTGGCATTAACTCGTTGAGTACCGTCATTATAGACACAATTAAAGAACAATAAGTAGGTTACGGTCACCGGTGTCCTCGCGGTGTTTGACAGTTTAACTCGTCGAGTACCGGTTTTATAGACACAATTAAAGAACAATAGGTCGCGGTCACCGGTGACCGCTTGGTGTTTGACAGTTTAAGTGACAAGAACTCAATTGAAGCATGCTTCTTTAAGGGCCGTAATGTGCACCTCTACCTACCCCTTCGAGGATAAAAGGCGTGATGTAATGTATGTTTTATATACTGCTCGACGAGGCTACTCGACTAATTTCAAGCACGACAAGGACTCATAATCAAGAGCCAGATTTCTTTTTGTAACTCAATTAAAAGTATTTTTTTAATGGGGGAAATTCATCGAATGACTGCTCCCGCCTGGGTGAGGCGGGAGGGAGTGTCAGACTCTTACTGACTAAAAACCACCCCGTTCCTTCTCCTGCACGTCGAGTCGGAGCCCCGGTTACCCGTTAGGTTCTCCACGACATAATAAAAGTATTAAAGTAACTATGTTTCATAAGAATTTACCTATTTCCTGCGCAGTTGCCTGCAGCTTCTCCATAGAACGGCTGACTAGAACGATATCACAGCCTGCAGCGGCCAACTGTAATAAAACAAATACATTACATAAATTTTAAAAAATAAGTGTAATTTAAAAATTAATATCTAATGGTAGATGACAGTCATTTCATTTAGTACAAGGAGCTAGTAGTACTAGCGCAAGGCCCTGTCTTGCACATGCTGAACTGGTCCCATTTCACCGCAGACTTGGGACATGAACATGTACCCATTAGTATTTATGTGTGTTTAATCTGTATGTGCCACAATTGCAGGTCGTGGACGTTAAGATGTGGTGTGTTTAGTAGGTTGTGTTTTGTTGCAGTGCCACACTTTTGTATAGTTTTTTTTTAAGAGAAAAATCATTACATGACTTCTCCCGCGGGAGGGATTGTCAGACTCTTACTGACTAAAAACCACCCCGTTCCTACTCCTGCCCTTCGAGCCGGAGCCCCGGTAACCCGTTAAGTACTCCGCGGCTCCGTATCGGCATCAGCCCTATGGGGCCCCATCCGTGGTGGTCTGATAGCTCTTTGAGGCGCGCGGAACGAGATGCGCCGTACGCATACGTCGGATAAGGCTAAGGAAGACTTAGTAAACAAAACCTATTTGGGAAAGATCAGAGTGCCAAGCACGAATAACTATCGCATTCGTAACGTAATAGTATCGAGCGCGTTCGACGCTCTGATTGGCCGACTTAAGTGAACCAACCAATCAAAACGCTTAACTCGCTCGATACTGTTACGATACGAATGCGATAGTTATTCGTGCTTGGCCCTCAGGAGGTTTACTCTTGAATCCAATTCCGATCGATTGACATTGTGAAATTTCATACTCTTGAGTTGCAATACTAGCGCCTTTTACATCCGTATTGCATGGATACTGAATGAACTAAACGGTATTGAATTCCGTAGTCTAAATGCAATTTTTTAACAGTTACGATGGGGGTTAATTAGTTTTGAAATTGAATAATTATTGAAATTTTATTGGATTGAGAATTGCATGGACATTGAGATTGGTTTCAGGAGTGAGTGCCCAGATTAACTCCTGGTATATGTAGACATACGCGAGACGCAATGTGCTTTCTATTGTGCTTACATTCCGACAGAAAAAAGTTTAATTAACTGCAACAGAACATATTCTTACTCGACAGTCACCCTTGCAACTCGACCAACAAAGCAGGCAAATATGTAATAACAAATTGTTCAAGTGATTCATCATCATCATCAGCCTATAAATGCCCACTGCTGAGCAAAGCCTCTTCTCACACGGAGAAGGTTTGAGCATTAATCACCACGCTTGCTCACTGCGGGTTGGTGATTTCAAACTAATAATTAGAAATTATAAGTCCAGGTTTTCTCACGATGTTTTCCTTCACCGTTTGTCAGTGGTGTCTAAATAATCTTAGAAAGTACAATATAACTCGGAAAAAGTCACATTGGTACTTGCCGTTGGTAGGTTTCGAACCTGCATGCATGAAAAGCGGGTGTCTTAACCTCCGGGCCACCACGACGATGTTCAAGTGATTACATACGTATAAAGATTAATTTATAGGCACGCTACTGGCTTGTAATCTTAGAGTATTTATTTAGTCCTAAAGACTTAAATTAGAATACATTACTGAGAAGTATGTTTCAATTGATGTAATTGGGTTGACTACTGACGCATTAAGTAATCTTCAAGTTGGTTAAATATATAGTACACCATACCTTTAATTGATGTAAAGCATGTGTAAGCTTTGTATAGCTATGTACTACACATAACATATCAGGGGTAGGCAGAGGTGCACATTACGGCACTTAATGCCACTGTACAATGTAATACCCACTTTTCACTATTTACGTTATGAGTCCCATGTAATAGGGGGTGAGCCTATTGCCATATACCGGACACAATACCAGGCTCCGTGCTATTAAGAGATATTTTTTTTTAAAACCCAGTAATACTGTGCCCGACCCGGGAAACAAACCCGAGATCCCTTGCCCGGCAGTCGTACTTGCGACCACACGGCCAACGAGGCAGTTCAAGAGATTAGAACGAACAATTAATGTATTGATCAGCGTTTTTACATAGGTACATATTGATTTACAAACACATAAAGCTATTTACGTCATAATATGAATAGCAATGCAAATATACATTACTTTGATATATAAATATTTATGTCATCGACGTAAACTAGAATTAGACTAGTGTTTTTTTAATCATACGTAATTATTTGTACCTTGTTAGTTAAATGACGACTGACTACCTTTTAGCAGATCTTTTTATTTCTTGGGTTGGACAAAATACTAATTAGATCTTAGTAGATACTTGCATATAAGTGTTGGTGAAGAATACTGCGCATACCATGGACAGCCTGAAGAACCAACGTCTCAATATGATCGCAACTCTAAGTCGAAGTCAAAGAGCCATCAGACCACTACAAATGAGGCCCAGGGCTGATGCCCGATACGAAGCCGCGGAAGGCCTAACGGGTTGCCGGGGCTCCCGCTCGAAGAGCAGGAGTAAGAACGAGGTGGTTTTTAGTCAGAGTCTAACCAAAGGCGGAAGAAGTCATATTAGACGAATTTCCCCCCAAAAAAAAACATCTAAGTCGCAGACCGCCTTTCCACTTAAGCCTTCGCCGGCTCATGAGCTATTTTGGACGATATAAAGAGACGCAGATAGAATAGTTTGGAGAAGCTCATTGTCGTGGGAGATGTTGAATAGAGAAGGCCAAGAGACGATCCCCAACTAGGTGGTCTGACCAGCTCAAGGACAACCCAGCATCGAGGTTCTAACAGGAGCCGATGAAGACAATTCGTTCGACCCGCAGTGATGCCAGCATGATCACGATCCTCAGTTATGAGGGAATGACCGGACACACTTAGATATTTAAGTAGGCACTTTAATAGCGTATACGGAATTGCCCTCGGTAATATGGGACTTATCGAACGAATAATATTACAATCTATTTATTAATGTTTTTCATTTTGACCCGAAAGCTTTCCTATTAAGTCATGAATGTAGTTAAAAACACTTTTATTTATACAAAATACCCGGTACAACCATTTTTGGAACTATCGTGAGACATACTTAATAAATTATTATGTTTTCGGCTTACTCATCTAACTGTTTGACGAAGAACTCGAATAGTTTCAAGCCATGCTAGAGGCTCATGACTAGTTGCAAGCCATGCTTTAGCCTCTTCATGAAATCAGTCGAATTCCTCGTCAAACAATTTTTGAATTATACAAAGAATTGATTAGTGCAGTAATCGCAGGTACCTACACCATGCAGTCAATGTTATGTGAACTAAGCTTTATCCTTCATTGTTTATCCTTTACAAGCAAAATATAGTCAGCAATTTCACCTCTAAAAAACTTAGTAGACATTTTACTAAAAAAACAACATCTTTAGCATACTTTAACACTAGAAAGACCAGAGTGGTCAAATGACCCCAATGAAGTCTTTGATCAATCATAATAACAAAACCATAACAATGAAGTCAGTGCCGTTTTATGACTTTTAATATTTCGTCATTGTTTACATTATTCTGATATGTGTATATCGATAGCTAGATAAATACAAATTAAAAATTATCACCTACCTAGAAAGACCGAAGTGGTCATTTGACACCAATGTATGCGTGCTTTGTATTATTTCGTTGAATATCCTCTTGTAGTGGGTACTTGAAATAAAATATTTCATTTCTTTATTGTTTTGTTCTTGTCAAAGTAAAGACGTATATATCACGGCTCGCCATAATATAATTATAATGCCTAATTATCGTTCCCTTTCGCCTTCTAAAATATTGGAAGTGCTGCAAAATTTACCGGACGACCAATCCGATTGTGAAGCGACTGAAGAAGAGAGGCATATTTTGCATTTAGACTCAGGAAGTGAAGACATCAGTGTCGAGGTATCTTCTACCGGTATCAGTTGGACTCCTGGAAACTTATCAGTTTTGAATCAGCCTGGTCGTCGTCCACGACAGAATATTCTAACAGAGGAAGCTGGACCAACTTCTTTTGCAAAAAGGTGTTATAAAGGAGGTATTTTATCTGCATGGAAACTTATCATTGATGACTCCATGCTGCGACATATTCAGAAATGTACTGAAACCGAAGCTCGTCGCCAACTTGAAGATAATACTTGGTCACTCCCATTGAATGAATTAGATACTTTTATTGCAATTATTTACGCTCGAGAAGCCTGTGGGGCTAAAAATATTGCTGTGAATGATCTTTGGGACAAAAATTGGGGTATTCAGTTTTGTTCACAGAACATGGCTCGGAATCGTTTCAAAGAAATAATGCGTTTCCTGCGATTCGATGTGCGGACAGAAAGGGCTGAACGTCTGCAAACAGATAAATTTGCAATGATTTCGGAAGTATAGAATAAGTTCATCCATAACAGTATTTCATGTTACAAGCCTGGTGAAAACCTTACTGCTGACGAACAGCTTTTTTCCACAAAAGTTCGGTGTAGATTTTTGCAGTTCATGGGTAACAAACCAGACAAGTTTGGAATCAAGTTTTGGCTTTGCGTTGATGTTGATTCAAAGTACTTATGTAGGTAATGGTTTCACATATTTAGGAAGAGATGAAAGCCGCCCACAAAATCAAAGTTTAGGCGAGTGGGTTGTATTGCGACTAATGGATCCATACTTGAATACTGGTCGAAATATAACAACTGATAATTTTTTCACCAGTGTAAGTTTGGCTAAAAAGCTAATTGAAAAACGTACATCAATAGTTGGTACGGTAAACAAAACACGGAGACATACCCCCAGAGCCTCTAGAAGAACGTAGTGGAAAGAGGAAACGGTGTTACGTACAAAAATGCAAAAACAAAACCAATAAATCTTGTGTTAGTTGTAAAAAGCCTTTGTGTGGCTCTTGTAATGTAAAAAAGGAGCTAAAATGTCAAAAATGTGCCTAATTTTTTTATTTTTTATCAATAAATAGATGTTTAACTACTATTAAGTTATTTTATTCATTATTGGATGCTAATCAATAAAACTTAAAACCATAATACACGAATAAAACATTACAACCCATGAAGGTGTCATTTGACCCCACTTGGTCTTTATAGGTAGTTCGAAATTCCGGTCTTTCTAGTGTTAACAAAATGTTTACAAATACCTTTAACACCTAGGGCCCATCTATTTATAATTAAGTTTTAAAAGTCTGACACTTAGAATATTTATCAAAATTCATTGTAGGGCGAAAACTTCGAAAAATATTGTTTAGTAATTCATTAGGTAGATACTTACTTCGCTTGTATAATTAAGTACTTAGGTAAAATAAAGTTAGTCTTTTACAATTTTTATCTTGTGCCTGATCTAGAAAAATCTTAAATAAAAAATTTACTTGAATTGGTGAAACAACGCTTGCGTTGTGTTTCGTCGCATGAGTGAGGTTACCGGCCCAATTACCCCTCCCCAACCCTTTCCCAATCCCTGAGTCCCCAACAATCCTCAAATTCCTAATCCCAAAAGGCCAGTAACACACTTATAACGCCTCTGGTGTTCCAGGTGTCCATGGGCGACGCCGATTGCTTACCATCGGGTGATCCGTCTGCTCGTTTACAGCCTTATCTCATAGCAAAAAAAATTGAATCTAAATAAAGTTTAAAAGGTTGCAAGGGCGACTATCGAGCTAATAAACTAAAATTAGATTCTACCACAGTTATAATGATTGGTTTTCCAAATCATCAAATTAACCAGGATACCTAACATAACTGAGCATTAAACTATTGAAAAATTATGTCTTGTCTTGATGAGGTACTGAGTCCTAACGAGGTTTTGTTTAAAATCAGTAATTTACAGAGAGCGACTGGTGTATTTTTTTGATGGGGGAATTTCATCCAATGACTTCTCTCGCCCGGGTGAAATGAGAGGAAGTGTCAGATTCATAAATAATAATATTATTCATTATTGTTTTCGGCGGTAAGTATACGTAGATACGGTAAGTATATGTAGAGTAGCAGCGCGACAGTCGCCGCGTCGCGGGTCGCGACATGCTGCTCATGAATATGAGCCTCTAGCATGGCTTGAAACTAAAAACTAGTTTCTCGTCAAATTATTACGTGAGTAAGCCGAAAACATAATAATTAATTTAGTATGTCTCACGAAAGTTACAATACAAATATAATTAATATTTATTCTAATTACCTGTCTAGCGTATTCCTTGCCGATACCATCGGTGCAGCCCGTAACCACTGCAACAAAACAAAACCTTATGTAAAAAAACAATACGTATTAACAATACCTATCTAAATACGCAACGCCTTTGATGTTCCGGGTGTCAATAAGCAACGCCGATTGCTTACCATCAGCTGATCCATCTGCTCGTTTATTGGTTTATCCCATGAAAAAGAACAAAATGAAACCCATTTTAATTTCCACCACTCATTCTCATCAAACCTAACTTAGTTTAATAAAAAAGGTCAAACCTTTCCGACTATCTTTCAATCGGATATCTGCAAATATTGTGAACCCATTTTGATCCCAACTCAGCGGGATTTGGGATAAGCTAAATATTCGTGGAATAATGCTGAATCAACATGAATAGTGCAGTTTTAGCATAATTCCTATGATACCTCGTTCGTGTGTATGTATTATGTTATGAAATGATTCCGTAATTAAGTGGCGTTTGGAATGAATTATCTGCATTAGCTGTTTAATCATGAGGTTATGTTAGAGTAGAATGCATTTGCCATCATCTATGCTCATTGGTTGGGTGTCAATAGATTCGATACGACGAAGAGTACTACCCAATCGGTCACTGCTCTCCACTTACTCAATTATAGACCTTATATCCGATGTTTAGATACTACTTTTGTATGAACAAACGTGGATTTTTCATAATCAGTAAGCATTTGACAAAGACCGGGAAGCGGTTGAACTATTTAAACTATACGACATCCGACTGTCGGGCAAGGGGCGCGGGAGGGGGTGGGGACAACGTATAACTGGATTTTTTTAAATTCTCAGTAGTACCACGGAGTCTGGAATTGTGCCCGGTATATGTAAATAGACTCACCCCTATTACATGGGACTCATAACATAAATAGTGAAAAGTGGGTGGTTACATTGTACAGTGTCATGATGAATACCTCTGCCTACCCTTTCGGGGATAAAAGGCGTGATGTTATGTTACATTTAACCTGCTTGTCGCACTTGGAGATTTCCATAGTAGTGGACCGTTCCGGGTAACATCCACGTTTGTCCATTAATAAATCCCATAGTGGGGACTTGTAACTGGACATAGGACTCTCATAATAAGAAGAGGCGAGCCTATTGTAAAACACAAGGTTTAATTTTAAACCTTATTACATTGGAATACGCTAACCAATCGTCACTTCTGTCAAAGATACGGAAACACAACAAAATACCGGACACAAAAACACTTTCTCACGAACCGGTACCAACAGAAAACATCTACAATGTAAATTGAATCTTAACACACATAGATTATGTCATAAAATGCCATGTTAAAGTTACGCGGAGGTGAAAGTTATCCGATTCTTGAGAGTGATTGCCAGATGTGTGGATAAATGCGTTTAATTTAACTTAACGTTATGTTACGGTAGTTATTTAATTAGGGAGTAGGCAGAAATGATATAAAAAATCCTAATTAAGTACAGCGATGCACATCAAGCTATCGCAAACGACCTCTATCCAATAGATTTTCGACTTTATTACAAACCTATTATGGTGAAATTGCATTCAAAGAAATGATAGAACATCATTTTATCAGTACAATATTCTAATCAGTGAATTCTAGTTGTTGACATTATGCAATTTGTATATCAAAGACATCCGATTTATTTAGGTCATTGAACCCAAGACCTTGCACTTAGGTTAGCAACAACCAACCTGTAACTACCAACACAAAAAAAAACATTTTTATGGGATAAGCTAGTAAACGAGCATACGGATCACCTGATGGTAAGCAATCTGCATCGCCCATGGACCCCCGAAACACCAGCGGTGTTACAATACGTTACCGGCCTTATAGGGATTAGTAATTTGAGGATTGCTGGGGAATCAGGGATTGGGGATATTCAGGAGTTGGGATGGTGATTGGGCCTCCGGTAACCTCACTCACACGCCGAAATACAATGCAAGCGTTGTGTCCCGTCGGTTTTCTGCTCGCCCGTGGTATCACTCCGATCGAGCCGGCCCATTCGTGCCGAAGCATGGCTCTCCCACACTTAAAAAATAACCTATTCTCGAAAAAAAAACTAATACATATCTTCAACCTGACATGAAAGAAAGAGTTCGTTAGCAAATGACACCAATTACTTAATAAGCTGGCATTTAGCAAAAGTAATTAAAATGTGGTCTTTAGGTTCTGGGCACACGGTCCTTTTTACCGCAAGAATTTCTGTGGTCCTTTGGTGGAACGGCTATAAATTATGTGGAAAAGTGAACAATATGTTGGCATTTAAGGATGTACTGTGGTGTGTTTTATTTAGGGCAGAAATGTAAGTAAGTATATTCCCTAAAATAGAATTAAAATAATGCAATTACAAAAAACGATTACGATATTACAAGGTACATTCCTCAAATTGCTAATCCTCAAAAGGCCGGTAGCGCACTTGTAATGCCTCTGGTGTTCTGGGTGTCCATGGGCGACGCCGGTTGCTTACCATCAGGTAATTCGTCTGATAACATATTTTAACATAACAGATTATGCAGTGTGTCTGTGTACATACTAATAACGAAATATCATTTTATTCATTTTTAAATTTTCATCTTTAATTTCCTTCTCCAGAGAAAAGAACGTAGTTAATCTCACGATATCTACCTTTTTATTTTGCACTTGACATCAAACTGTCAAAAATTATTAGTACTTTCGCCAATCTAGGTAAATATCTAGGCCTAAAACACACACGATAAACACCTTAACAAATTAACAGAACAAACACACTAAAAACACCATAAATACCAAAACCAAGGACTTCATACACACACACCGCATATAAAAACAAACTTTAACAGAGACGGTGTACCTACCTAAACAAAATCCCTTAATATTTTAATTAACTTGAAACCCTAAGTGAATATGAGAAGGAACTTAAATTCTTAAGATATTAACATATTAATGCTGAAAGAGAAGTTTTTGCGTCAGAACTTTGAAACAAGAATACTCGAGGGTAGTTTGACATTTGGTATAAGAAACGCTAACCTCTGCGAACCGTCAGGAAACGTTGAAAACTTTTATGTAGCCTCTATGTGTAAATAAACTAAAAGGTATGAGGCCACGAAGTCAGAGAGCCTTGCTTCGGCACGAATAGACCGGCTCGACCAGTGATACCACGGCCTCACAGAAAACCAACGTGAAGCAACGCTTGCGTTGTGTTTCGTCGTGTGAATGAGGTTACCGGAGGTCCAATTACCCTCCCCTTCCACAATCTCCCCAATCCCTGAATCCCCAACGATCCTCAAACTCATTATCCCCAAAAGGCCGGTAACGCACTTATCGCCTCTGGTGTTCCAGATGTCCATGGGCGATGCCAATTGCTTACGATCAGGTTATCCGTCTGCTCGTTTACGTTCGAAAATAATTGAAATTGAAGAACTCTATTTAAAACTCAGTGTTATTAATAACTAAACTACCTAACAATATGCTGTTACAAGTACAGATTAAGACTTCTGACTATACCGCTAAAGAATCTCTTAAAGAAATCGCTTCCGCTCATCCATTCGTTAACTTCGTGGCTCCATAATAAACGGAGGCAAACTCCACCGAGGGAGAGTTAACATATCTTAGTGCAAATGAAGATATAAGTTTTACTTGACTCTTTTTACTTAACTTCTTAGCACTGACATATAAACATGAGGCTTGCTACCTATTATATAATTATGAGACAGAAAATTAAAATACTATCTACAAGTAGGAAATAAATTATTCTTGTTAGTTATAAAAGCAAATCCAATTAGTTAATAAGATAAACCAAATTGCGAGATATGTTCTTTGAATGGTCGAATGGTCGAAACTAAGTCTAAAATATGCCCGTTTTTATCAACTTCTAAAATGATAAGGAACCGCTAACCGGCGTGGTATTTAACGACATTCTGGTTTTAAACAACCTGTAAGAGACTCCTAACAGTACAACTAAGGGATTAGTTTAGGTGGTGGTGTAGATGGTTGGTGAAAAAGGCCACTAGGTCTATAAAATTCCTATTTAACTCGATTGTCCAATCTTTTCAAAAACTTAGCTATCGTTAACATCATACTACCACTCAAGAACCTGAACAGAGTCTAGACTCCCAAAACATTACGAGTCTAAGTGTGGGAGAACCATGCTTCGGCAGGTATGGGCTAACTCCGGTGGTGTCAACCACGGCTTTACAGAAAACCGGCGTGAACAACAACACTTGCGTTGTTTTGTCGTGTAAGGTTACCGGAGGCCCAGTTACCCCCCTACCCAATCTCATGTCGCGGAGAACCTAACGGGTAACCGGGGCTCCGGCTCGACGTGCAGGAGAAGGAACGGGGTGGTTTTTAGTCAGTAAGAGTCTGACACTCCCTTCCGCCTCACCCAGGCGGGAGCAGTCATTCGATGATTTTCCCCCCTTAAAAAAAAAACCCAATCTCATCACAATCGTCGAATCGCAAACAATCCTCAAAATTCTAATCCTCCTCTGGTGTTTCGGTTGTCCATGGGCGGTGCCGATTGTTTACCACCAGGTGATCCGTCTGCTCGTTTACCGCCTTAGTCCATAAAAAATTGACCAAAAATATCCATAAATAGGTTTTTTTGGTATCAAAAAACGCGACGAAAATTGAACAATAAAAGTTAAGTCAAAGTTTAACCCGTCTCGACACATTTAGTAACGAGTGTACAATTACCTTTGTGACCAAAGAACATTTCCATATTTAAATGACTTTTTAAACAATACTGTAAAACTTGAATTTCTTTGAAGTGGAACTGAAGTTGTGACGGTTTTTATTTTTGGATAAAACCTTCTATTCTGTAGTAATTTAAACAATATTACACCTATAATAAAAGCTATTATACCTTAGCGACAGAAAAGTGCGTTTTGTGAATATGTGACACCCACTTTAGATCAGTTGCTAAATGCATAACATCATAACATCACGCCCTTTATCCCCGAAGGAGGCAGAGGTGCACATTATGCCACTGTACAATGTAACACCCACTTTTCACTATTCATGTTATGAGTCCCATGTAATAGGGCGTTAGCC